CTGAAACAACTAGATAGCCACATATAGAAAAAAAAAAAAAAAATGAGCTAATTCCCACCACACATCACAAGCAAAAATTAATTTGAAATAGATGGTAGACCTGAATGTAAGGGCTAAAACTGTAAAACTCAGAGATTAGAATACAAAAGAAAATGTTAGCAATTTGGTTTAGGTGAAGATTTTTTAAACAAGACACTAAAAGCTTGATCTATAAAATTTAAAACACTGATAAACTGAACTTCATCGAAATTTGAAATGTTGGCTCTTCAAAAGGTATTGCTAGGAAAATAAAAAGGCAAGCCACAAATTGGGAGAGAATACTTACAAAATGTACCTGTAATAAAGTACTTGTATCCAGAATACTCATAATTTACACAACTCATTAAAAAGGAGACAAGTCAATTTTTTAAAAATGGTAAGAGATTAGACCAGGCATTTCACCAAACAAGACATACAAACGGCAAAATAAGCATATGTAAAATGCCCCAAATCACTGGTCATTATGGAAATGCAAATTTAAAGCAAAAAAAGACCATTACACACCAACTAGAATGGCTAAAATTAAAGACTGATGACATCAAGTGCCGACAAGGACGTAGAGTAATTGAACTCAAATATTGCTGATGAGAACGCAAACTGGTAGAGCCACTTCGGAATATAGTTTGGCCGTGTCTTATAAAGTTAAACATAGACTTACCATATGATCGAGGGAGTCAACTCTGAGGTTTACCCAAGAGAAATGAAAACCTATGTCCATACAAAAGCGTGTTCTCAAATGTTCATAATAGATTTTAAAAACTATTAGTTCCAAACTGGAAGCAATCCAGAATAGTAAATGGATAAGTTGTGATGTATCTATATAATACAATACTATTCAGCAATAAAAAGAAATAAATTATATGCAAGAACACATATGAATCTCAAAAGCACTGCCCAATGTGAAAAAAGCCAGACACAACTGTCTACTAAGTATATTCTTCCATTCTAGAAGAGGCAAAAGTATAGCAATAGAAGGACAGACCACTGTTTGCCGTAGAAGGAAGTGACTGATTGAAAGGGGCAGGAGGAAACTCCTGGGGGTGATGGAAATGTTCTCCATCTTGGCTGTGGTGATGATTACATAACTATATTTGTCAAAACTCATCAAATTGTACAGTTAAAATTGGTTAATGTTATGGGCAAATTATACCTCATAAAAGCTGATATAAAAATATTTTTAAAGATTTCAACTGTGCTAATTTAGAACTTTGTCGCAACTTGTTTTAAGTTTTGAAGCTTCTAATATAGATACAAAAAGTATAAAAATCATATCACTGGTTTATCACAAAACAAACACCCATTTTAAATACCACCGAGGGGAAAAAAAAAACCATTGTGACATACAAGAAGGCCACTCTTTCCCTCTAACCAAAAATATTACTCAGCCTTGAAAAATATGCTTTGATACTACTGGTTTTTGAACTTTTACCTAAGGGAAATTGTGTAGCAGAGTTAACCTTATGCAAAGAGAGGTTGGGTTTTTGCCCTGGGTTCCTGGTAGCTGATCTCTAGCCCTTAGAATATGCTGCCTGATAAGCATGTCTGTTTCCCTGAGGACTTTGGGCCAAGCAGTATCAGCTTGACCTCCAGAGGGACTGAAGACTAAAAGTCAGCCACATGTGTGGTCAACCATGTCTGTGTGATTGAGTCTCAATAAAAACTCTGAACACTAAAGCTTGGGTGAGCTTCCCTGGTTGGCAACACTGCACCTGTACTGTCATACAACATTGCTGGGAGAAGTCAGTTCTGTCCACAATGCCACTGGGAGAGGACAACTGAAAGCTCCATGCATGGAACTCTCCTGGACTCTGCCCCTACACCTTTCCCTTAGCTGATTTTAATTTGTATCCTTTCACTGTAATAAACTATAACCCTGAGTATAACAGTTTCGCTGAGTTCTGTGAGCCTTGTAGCAAATTATCAAACCTGATGATGGTCTTAAGAACCCCAAACATGTAGTTGGCATCAGAAGTGTGGGTGTTCTTTTGGGGACCCTGAACTTTGTAGTTGGTGTTAGAAGTAAGGGAGGCCTTGAGGACTCCTAAAGTCTGCAGAAATCTTAGGGAATTATTTTGTATATGGCTTCTTTTACTCAGCGTTGTTTCTGAAATTCATTTATATTAAAGCTTATAAGTATATTCACTTTAATTGCTTGTGTAGTAACATACTGTATGAACTGACTGTAATAGACTCACTCTCCTGTTGATGAACATTTGGACTTTTTCCAGATTTGTACTATTGCTATTGACAACGCTACAGAGAAAAATAGAGGAATCCATCATCACAGCGGCAAATTTTAAAACATCTGTCTCAACTTTTAAGAATAAGCAAACCAAAAAAAGTCAGCAAGAACATAGATTTTTATTACACAATTAACAAATTAGATTTGGTATCACTCAATACCTAAAACCCTTTAAGCCTTCTTTGGGAATAATAATGATGAACATTTCCCAAATGCATACTATGTTCTTATGCTATTCTATGATCTACACAAGGATCATTTCAGTGAATTTTCATAACAACTCTTCCAATTTTACAACTAAGAAAACTGAAGCATAGAAAAGTTAAGAAATTTGCCCAGAATCCCACAGCTAATAAATGGCAGATCTAGAATTCAACTTTTAGGAAATCTGATTCTAGAGCCAAGTTCTAAATTCCTATGCTGTTTTTCAGCATATTCCATTTTCTCTCTCTGCTTGAATTAATTTTGGTATTTTTCGTCTTCAAAGAAAAATCATCTATTTCATTGGGATCTTAAAATTTATTAGCGTAACTTGACTTCGAACTCTGATGTAAAGTACCAGAATTTATATCAGAAATAAAACTATTTTTAGCCCTATATGACTTTTCCTATATCATGAGCCTTATAAATTCATCCAGAGGGACCAGTACATCTGGAGGTTGTACTGAAATTCCATGACAAAAATAATCATCCTCTCATCTAAAACCTGTAATTGATTACTACAGGTTTCTGAAAACTTGATGCTTCAAGATTAAGTATCACTAGCATTAATAACAATACATATTAATTATATAGGCAGCTATAATACACAGAAAGCAATTTTTCTTTAAACAGTCTTAAGCATTACTACTACAAAAGTAATGAATACTGGGAGTGAAGTGTTTGAGAAATTTTTTCTTTTAAAAAAAGCCTTGCCAGGCGCGGTGGCTCAAGCCTGTAATCCCAGCACTTTGGGAGGCTGAGGCGGGTGGATCACAAGGTCAAGAGATCGAGACCATCCTGGTCAACATGGTGAAATCCCGTCTCTACTAAAAATACAAAAACATTAGCTGGGCATGGTGGTGCGTGCCTGTAATCCCAGCTACTCAGGAGGCTGAGGCAGGAGAATTGCCTGAACCCAGGAGGCGGAGGTTGCGGTGAGCCGAGATCGCGCCATTGCACTCCAGCCTGGGTAACATGAGTGAAACTCCGTCTCAAAAAAAAAAAATAAATAAATAAAATAAAATAAAATAAAAAAAAAAGCCTTTCCATTCTATGTGATAATTTGACCTATGGTTAACTTTCTGCCTTTGTTCCTCCTGGAAACCTGACCTAAGTGGTAAGTTAACTGGGTTACTATTATGCAATATTGTATAGATTTTTAAAATAACCCCTGATTAAACTGAATTGGGACAAACTATGAATGAACTAGAAATAACCAATAATGACACCACAGCTTTGGCTCCAAGGGCACAGTTAGGTCTGAGTAATCACATTCTAACTTTTGTCATTTAAACAAAGGAGTTAAAGGAGCATATTTGGGTTGTTTTTAACACCCTGATCAATGAATTCGGAATACTAATTAATTCTTGGTAATAATAAATTAGTCAGGGTTAATAGTTACTTCAGCCATTTAAAGTAATCTTTTGCTCCAAGGTGAATCCTCTTCTCATATCTGATGCATAGTTATCTATTTATTTATTTGCCTGCTGTCTGTCTCCTCTTCTAGAATGTAAACACCATGGGGGCAAGAGCTTTGCTCTTTCTAATTCACTGCTCCATTTCCAGGACTTAAAATCGTAATTGGTATGCAGTCGGGTTCAAAAATTAGTTTTTGAATGAAGCTCCTACTAACTTCTGGGTATTATCTGATTGACTAAATGTTATTGGACACCCGCTATATGTCCAGGCCTGGGCTAGTCAGGTATGGCAACAGAATGGTTATTGTCTATGATTTTACAGAGCTAAAAATGATAGGTAAAATTTCAGGCTGGGCACGGTAGCTCACGCCTGTAATCCCATCACTTTGGGAGGCAGAGGCAGGCAGATCATGAGGTCAAGAAATGGAGACCATCCTGGCCAACATGGTGAAACCCCGTCTCTACTAAAAAATACAAAAATTAGCTGGGCGTGGTGGCGCGCACCTGTAGTCCCAGCTACTCGGGAGGCTGAGACAGGAGAATTGCTTGAACCCAGGAGGCGGAGGTTGCGGCGACACGAGATCGAGCCACTGCACTCCAGCCTGGCGGCGGAGCGAGATTCTGTCTCAAAAAAAACAAAACAAAACAAACAAACAAACAAAAAAACTTCAGACAATTTTCCACTGACCAGGAATATTTTCTGTATTAACATATGATATAATTACTTCCCTAAAATCTTACATAATTTAGAACATTTAGTAGCACTTTACTAAAAAATGTTATCTTCAAAATGCTGGACTCTTACCCAAGAATTACAAACACTGCACAAACTGCTTCAATCACTTTTAGAAGTCGTCTCTAGCAAGGAAGTAGGAGGTGCCTATATCACATCTGTGATGTCAGCCAACAACAGCCATTTGAATGTTTCCTAATGAATCCCTATTTCCAAATTTTTCTCAGCGTTCCTTTGGTACTTTCCCCAAAATTTTCTCTTTACGGGTAATTTAGTCTCTCTCTCTCTCTTTTTTATTTTAAATGAGCATTTCTTTTTTATATGTGATGTGTTCAGGTAAGTAATCAGGCCTTTTGAAGAATCACACACCAGTTTCCCTGATCGTAGTAGCTTTGCAGAATTCTGACATCACTCACAGCCTGGCAGGCAGCTTCCAATTCCCCCTCACGGAAGACATGGTAGTAACGATGAAACACGGGACTTGGGTCATGGGATCCTATGGGACCAAATGGCTCAACAGGTTTGCCTTTATCAGGGTTTCCCTTAAGGTGCCATGGAACCAGTACATCTTGAGAATAAAAAGAAGTCCTGTTAACATGAATAGGCAGCTTGGAATTAGAAACTTGCCATGAATTACATCTTCCCTCCTGAGAGTCATTAATGGAAGGAACAGAAGATGCTGAGTCCGGACTGTCCATATCAGGCATTTGCTCCACAAGCAACCTCTGCACTGAGGTATCACTGTTCATCTCTTTCTTTTCTTGGCTAGTTCTGTTTCCTCTAAGATACTTGGACTTCTGCTTATTATATTCTTGTTCCATTGCCCAGACATAAATGAGTGCCTTCCCACCTGGTCTCAGGAGTCGAACAAGTTCTTGCAGAGCTGCCACTCTACGTTCCTAATGAAATAAACCCAAACACGTTATCAACCTAGAAGAGATAGGAAATCAGAAAATATAACTGACCATAGGACTGTTTTCAATTAGGATGAACAGTAAGAAAATCTAACAAAATATCTTATATAAAACAAAAGAGGAAAAAAGAGGAAAGGGCATTCTGTTCTATGATTAAGAAAAAAAGTGATTAGGAAAGAGAAATTAGAGAAGAGCAAATTTTTATTTCTGTTAATCTTCCCTGTCACTTTTTCCTTAACAGTCTAGCTAGAATACACGAAACAACTAATGACTTCTTATAGGGCTATAAGCGGTAATATGAAGCACTTTTATATTACTCATCTATATAATGCTTTTACAAAGGGATTCTGTAAACTATACTACAGAGACTTCTACTTATAGCCTCGATGAAGTTGTTGGTTTAATTTTCCCACTGAAAACAACCAGAAAGCCTGGGTGAAACACCTAAAACAGCTGCTTAAAGTACCAGAGAGAGGCCCTGCAAGCAGGCCTTGAAGGGCTATAATCCCTGAGAGAAGGAAAGTAAACCAAGGTGAGCTCTAGATTGACTCTAACTTTTTCCTGTGATTATCTGCTAAGCCATAATGTGGGCTAACAGAATATGAGGAGAATGCAGAAGTCTTAGTGGCCTGAAAGGATAGGGCTCGGCATATAAGGAGGTCAAAGCCGCTGGAGGACAGAGTTATGGATAAAGGAGATGCAGGAAAATTGTTCCAAAAATCTCTATGCAAACACCCTTTGAAGCATTTGCCAGTTTCTAAGTTGCATGTACATAGGGTAAAATTCCAAGAAACTTAGCAGAGTAGCAGCTGGGAAGCTAAAATGCTAAACAGAAATTTTAGCAGCCAATGTTAGAGAGACAGACATTGGACTTTAAGATCTGCTAAGGTGTAATAGCCTTGGAGTACATTCCAGGCTTTCACTTGAGAACTGGAAGGGCTACATCACAGAAGAAGGAACAAAAGTAAAACAGATATAAATCATCCCCAATAAAGCATAAAATCAGTTCTCTGCAGAATGCAAGTGATCTGCTTATGCTTTATCTGCTTGCACTTAGAAAAATCTAACCTTCTTCAGAGAAAAAGTACCCAAATCTTTAACATAAAATGCCCAGCATACAGTGAAAAATTATGAAGTATGCTAAAAATAATGATGAACAAAGGACTGAAAAACAGAGGAAAAAAAACAGACCATAGAAATAAATCCCCAGACAAAGACTTTTTAATAACTATAGTTAATATGTTCAAAAAACCAGAGGAAAAGATCAAGGATTTCAGTAATGATAAATATTAAGAAGTCAGTAATTCTAGAAAACAAGATGAATTTCAATTTTTAGCAAATTAGATACATTTACAAAGATAAGTATTAAACTATAGTTCAGGTCAGTATAAATTACCCAGATTGAATCACAGAGATGAAAAAGAGGGGAAAATACAGAAAACTGTCAATCAAGAATTCAATACCTACTAAAAACATCATTTGTAAGATGAAGGCAACATAAAGAGATCTCAGATACACACAAGCTGAGAGAATGTATCACCAGTATACTTACACTAAAGAAAATAGGACAGAGAACTCTTCAAGCAAAGGAAGCCTACTTCCTCCGAAACTCTGAAGATGCAGGAAAAAAGGAAGAATACCAGAAAGGGTAAATAATGTGAAGAAATATAAATGAAGGCTAAGAGCTCAAAACAATAAAATAATAATAGTACAATAAAAGGCAGAAGGGGTTAAAAGTTATCAATGAAGTCTTACATTGTCAGGAAGGGGTAAACATGCCAATTTAAGGTAGACTATAATGTCAGAGTTACATGTTGTAATGTCTAGGGTTACCAGTTAAAAAATAATATAAGAATATCTAATCAGCAAGCTAACAAAAGAGGAAAAATTTAACAATAAACTACATTATGGAGATAAGGCTGGCAATCATAGAGAACTAAGATATATACAATATTTGACAAATTAGTATTTCTAGTTCCATAGCTCTCTTAGCCTCAGATAATGCCTTCTTTAATTATCAAAGTAACATACACTGTATTGTACATCCAAGTAACCCATTCAACATGGCTAAAAAGCCCAGGAAATAATCTCAGATTGTATGTTAAAATAGGAAGAAGCATCTTCAGTATAACTGATATATAGAGAAGTGAATTAATAGGAGGAAGCTTAGTGAGGATTTCTCCAAATTGGGTTTAAGGAGCTAGGAAATATTGGGAAATTACGCTAAAAAATAAGATGAGACCATTTTATAAAAATAGTTGAAAAAAAGATTATTAAAATAATAATAATTAACATTTCCTGAGCTCTTATTATGTGTAAGATACTCTAATAAGTATTTTATGTATTGTCTCATTTAGTCTGACAGGCCTGTGAGATAGGATATTGTCATCATTATTTTACAGCTGAGGGACTTAAGTATTCTGAAATCACTAAAAATGTTTGTTCAAGGTCACAAAAGTAAAAAGAATATCAAATAGTAGAAGCAGTGGTGTCAGGGAAGAAGAGACTGGCACCAGAATGTAAACTGGATTAAAACAGATACATCAGTTGAAAAGAACACAGTAGTAGTGAAGGGATATAGCACAGGTCAGTAGACTTTTTTACTTTAATTCCCTTACCTCATTGTCTCCAGATACTTGGCTGAGATTTTCCATATAAAATCTTATGTTCCACCCTAAATCATGTTTCACAGTGTCATAAAAATGATCTCTACCAGGCATATATCTCATCAAGATATTCCCATGTGTTAGACCTTTCAATGACTAAGTCCAAATCATAACTATGGCATTCAACCAACACCACATAAATCCGCGTGGCAGGTGAGAATTCTACCACTGAACCACCCATGCGCTGGTATAAATCCAACAAATAATAAATAAATAAATAAATAAAAGCTGCATCCTCCACTAAACTATGAGCTCTATGAAGCAGGGACTGAGTCTTCTCCATCTTGTGCCCAGCTATTTGCTTAATAGTACTGTGTAACTAATTTTCAGTGACTTTTTTTTTTTTTTTTTTTTTTTTTTTTTTTTTTTTTTTTTTTTTTTTTTTTTGAGACAGAGTCTCTCTCTGTCACCCAGACTGGAGTGCAGTGGCATGATCTCAGCTCACTGCAACTTCTACCTCCTGGGTTCAAGTGATTCTTATGTCTCAGTCTCCTAAGTAGCTGGGATTCCAGGTATGCACCACCACGCCCAGATAACTTTTGTATTTTTAGTAGAGATGGGACTTTGCTTTGTTGGCCAGGCTGGCCTCAAAATCCTGACCTCAAGTGATCCACTTGCTCTGGCCTTCCAAAGTGCTGGGATTACAGGTGTGAGCCACCATACCTGGCATCAATGGCTTATTTTTATTGTGGTAAAATATATGTAACAAAATGTGCTAAGCATTTTTAAGTGTACAGCTCAGTGACATTAACTATGCTCATACAGTTGTGCAACCAACACTATTATCCACCTCCAGAATATTTTTCATCATCCCAAACTGAAACTCTGTATTAATTAAATCATAACAACTCCCATGCCCCTCTCCCACAGCCTCTGGTAACAACTGTTCCACTTTCTGTCTCTATGAATTTAACTATTCTAGCTAGTTCACATAAGTAGAATGATATAATACTGTCCTTTTGTGTCTGGCTTATTTCACTTAGTATAGTGTCCTCAGGTTACAACCATGTTGTAGTATGCGTCAGAATTTCCTTCCTAAGGCTGAATAATATTCCGATATAGGTGCATACCATATTTTTTCTATGCATCCATCAATGAACATTTGAGTTATTTCCACCTTTTGGCTGTTATGAACAATGCGGCTATGAACATGGGTGTATTAAATACCTGTTCAAGTCCCTGCTTTCAATTCTTTTGGGTATATATCTAGAAGTGGAATTGTTGAATCATATGGTGATTCTACGCTAAATTTTTTGAGGAACCACTGTACTGTTTTCCACAGTGGCTGATCCAGTTTACATTCTCATCAGCAATGCCCAAGAGTTCCAATTTCTCCACATCCTCACTGACACTCATTAGTTTCTATATTTCTGATAATAACCATCCTAATGTGTGTGAAGTGGTATCTCACTATGGTTTTGATTTGTATTTCCCTAATGATTAGTGACACTGAGTATCTTTTCATGTGCTCAAGGCCATTTGCATATCTTCTTTGGAAAACTGTCTATTTAAGTCCTTTGTTTTTAATTGTTTTCTTATTGTTGGATTTTTGTTGTTCTTTATATATTGTAGATATTAACACCTTATCAGATACACAATTTGCAAATATTTTCTCCCATTTTGTGGGCTGCCTTTTCATTCTGCAGATAGTGTCGTTTGATGTACAAGTTTTTAATTTTGATGAAGTCTGATTTATCTATTTTTTGCTTTGTTGCCTGTGCTTTTAGTATCATATCCAAGAAATCATTGCCAAATACAATGTTATGAAGGCTTTCTCCTGTTTTCTTCTTGGAATCTTATAGTTTTAGCTTTTCTGTATATGTCTTTAATTCATTTTGAGTATTTTTATGTATATGGCATAATGTAAAGATCCAACTTCATTCTTTTGCATGCGGTCAATGAATTATTTTTTAAATAAATGACAATAGATACACAGAAAAAGTTGGACATAACAGATTTCTAAGATGATTACACAGAACGTCATACAAGGTAGAGTATCCAACATATTTGCAATTGCAAGGAATGGATATATTTGTGTACATTATTGCCTTTTATAACTTGAAAATAAATTACAGTAATAAGTTATAACCACTGAGTTGTAGCTGAAGCAACCAATGTCTGCCAAACATTTCTTCCAAATCATGGGGATTTTAAAATTTACTGGTATAGCTGCTCCTTTCAATACTTTCTCCATTTGCAATAATGCCTATAAGTGTACTGAAGCCTAGTGACTTGTGCCGTAAAGAGCCTAATATTGTTTGCTGCAGCCCAGCCGAATCTCTTGGTTATTATTAAAGAGCTGGCAAGCTAGCAATTGAAGAGACTAATGACACAGACAGTTTTCTGATTTGTTTTGATTTGTTTTGAACTCAGTTAAGGTCATAAGGTCTACTGAAACTGCTGGTGACCCATAAGGTGAGCTATAAAGCTATTGCTTAGATCAGGGGATCAATTGCTGACACCCAAGAAAAATAAGTGGCCTTTTGTTCTTAAAAGAAAATATTAAATATTAAATTCATTTATTTTAAAACTAAGAACATACTAAAAGAATCAACACACTACTACTAGCTAAATAAGACAGAGTTTTGAAAAAAAGAATAGGAAAGGAAGAAAAACAGAAATTTATAGGAAGAAAGGAAGAAGTAACAAGTCAGGGATAAAACTATGGGTTGAGAAAGAAAGCTGAGAAAGAAATAGGGAAGGGACTCACAGTCTGAGGAGACAGTGTACTCAAGAGGCCTAGAGATGCTGATTTCAAAGTCTCTTCCAGCTAAAATTCTGTGACTCGGTGGGTTTGAAGGAAGGCATTTAAAACTGAATGAGACTTGAGGTAGAAAAGGAGCAAAAGCATACAGCAATAAAAGCATGAAGTCCCATCAGGACTCTAAGTAGAAGATACTCAAATAGGCGCCCACCTTCATTCTGCATGTTCTCTTACAAAGACGGCAAACTGTGACAAGAAAAGAGAAAAGAAAGAGCTGAAAAGCTAAAACGGGGTCCCAAATCAGCAAAATTCATGAACTTTTCCTGCTGCTTTAGCTACAAGTTCTTAAGAGAAAGACAGACCATACTTACTGCTGTTGCAAAATGATGAATAACAGCAATGGAAATGCAGGCATCACAAGATCCACTGCGGAATGGTACTGCCAATGCATCACAGACAAAAGCCTGAAATTGCCTCTCTCTGCAAATGTCCACAAGGTTTTGGCTACGATCACAACCAATCTGTAACAGAGAAGGAATTTCATCACATTTTGTTTAAATATCACAGGAAATTATGAGCTTATTCCATACCTTAAAGTATATATAATGAATATAAAGATCTCATATTCATTGTGAAATGGTCTGACACCATGATATTATCAGTTCTTACAGCCAGTACAAAATCAGAATATATAATTGTAAGGGAAGCATTTATTACCTTTACAGATATCAAACAGAACTCCAATCAGTGAAACAAAATGACGAGAACAAAAATGACAGTGGTGGAAATGGGAGGTCCAAATTTACAGCAAATTCATGACCATTCAGAATCTGGATGTTTCTGTAATATCACACATTTAAAACTGGAAAGTATCCCATAAACATAGTCTTTTGGGGGAGCTACAAATAAGATGTTCTACGATATCTCTCATTACCATATATACTATATTGTAATGACCCAGATAGCAGGAGGATGGGCAATTATTTTTCTGCTTCTTTATACTTTTCAACATGGATTACTTTTACAATCAGAAAATAAAATCCCAAAACAAAAAAATAATTTTTTTTCTTTTTCCACTAAATGCCAAAACTTATCAAGAATACAGCTAGTGCTCGACTTACGACCACGGTCAGGACCACGGACTGGTCATAACATGATTTGGTCATAAGTTGAGTAGGCTATATGTACAGTTGAAATGGTACACGCGGAGATGGTAGTGCTGCCAGAAGCTGGCCCGCACTGTCGTATGCCCAGCTGGGCAACATTTGCGCTGCCAGACGCGGAGCAGTTGTGGCTAGCGATTGTGGTCGTAAAGTCGAATGGTCGTAAATTGCATAGGTGGTAAGTCGATCAATACCTGTAAAGTGCTGAATTCGAAATTTATAAAATGTTATTTAATTAAACCTTTTCATACACCCAAACAATCCTATAGGATTGATGGCATGGAGGGCAGCTAGCAACATGCTTTTCTGTCCTCAAACAGGTGAGACCTAGCACACCTTATGCATGCATCTGGTTCTGTGAGAAGTGTTTAGGAGCTGGGTTTTCCCACCTTCTTTCTCTCTACTTTGTTGTTGTTGTACACAGTTTTGCTGCTTAGTTCTAAGAATATCAAATATGTATGTAATATATAGACACACATACACACACACACACACACACACACATTTTGCAATATGCCCATGTAAATTGAAGAATAAATGGGAGGCACTTAAGAAATTTTTTTTTTTTTGGAGACAGGGTCTCACAGCCCACCACAGCCTCCACCTCCCAGGCCCAGGCAATCCTCTTGCCTCAATCTTCCAAGCAGATGGGACTATAGATGCACACTGCCATGCCCAACATTTTTTTTTTTTTTTTTGTATTTTTTGTAGAGATGGAGTTTCGCCATGTTGCCTAGGCTAGCCTCAAACTCCTGGGCTCAAGTCATCCATCCTTCTCAGCCTCCCAAAGTGCTGGGATTATAGGCATGAACCACCATACCAGGCCACAAAAAATGTTAAATCACTGATTAATCATTATCCCTGGATAATTTTTTCTTAACGCAATCTCTATAATAGAGAAAAGAATTACATAAGCAGATTTAGTCAAATAGAAGTAGCCACCTAAAGTGTATATTTACACATTTAATTTTTTGACATAATGAGCACTGATCCTAAGTTTCCCTTGGCCCTTCTGATATGAATGCTCATATCAAACCTGTTGGGATAACTGGCTAGCCATGTGTAGAAGACTGACACTGTACACCTTCCTTACACCATACATAAAAATCAACACAAGACAGATTAAATGTAAAACCTAAAACTACAAAAACTCTGGAAGATAACTTAGGAAATACCATTCTGGACATAAGCTCTGGCAAAGATTTCATGACAAAGACACCAAAAACAACAGCCACAAAAACGAAAATTGACAAATGGGACCTAATTAAACTAAAGAGCTTCTATACAGCAAAATAAACTATCAACAGGGTGAACAGACAACCTAGAGAATGGGAGAAAATATGTGCAAACGATGCATCTGACAAAGGTCTTATATGCAGAATCTATAAGGAACTTAAACAAATTAACACACAAAAACCAAACGGTCCCATTAAGAAGTGGGCAAAAGACAAGAACAGATAGTTTTCAAAAGACATGAACAGATACTTTTCAAAAGACATCCATGTGGCCAACAACTATATGAAAAAGGTCACAACATCACTAATCATTAGAGAAATGTAAATCAAAACCACAATGAGATACCATTTCAGACCAGTCAGAATGGCTACTTTTAAAAAGTCAAAAAATAACATGCCGGTGAGGTTGCAGAAAAAAGAGAATTCTTATATACTGCTAGGGGGAATGGGTTCAACCACTATGGAAAGCAGTTTGACAATTGCTCAACAAACTTAAAAGAGAATTACCATTCAACCCAGCAATTCCATTATTGGGTATATATCCAAGGGAATATAAATAGTTCTACCATAAAGACATATGCACACATATGTTCACTGTGGCACTATTCAAATAGTAATCAACCTAGGTGCCCATCAACAGTAGGCTGGGTAAACAAGTGTGTTACACACCATGGAATACTATACCACCATAAAAGAGAATGAGATCATGTTGTTTGCTGCAACATGGATGAAGCTGTAGGCCACTGCCCTAAGCAAACTGATGCAGGTACAGAAAACCAAATACTGCATGTTCTCACTCATAAGAGCTAAATACTGAGTACACACGGACACAATGAAGGGAACAACAGACACTTGGGTCTATTTAAGAGTAGAAGGAGGGAGGAGGGAAGGGTCAAAAAACTACCTATCAGGTATTGTGCTTACTAACTTGGGTGATGAAATACTGTAATCTGTACACTGAATCCCTGTGACATGGAATTTACCTGTTTAACAAACCAGCACATGTACCCCTGAACCTAAACTCAAAGTTTAAAAAATCTTTTTTAATTTGGCTTTTTCTTAGACCAGCAAGCATATACAGATTTCAGATAGGCTTTTAAAACTTAAATACAGTGAAGAATGTAATATTGTCTCTGATAAGTAGTGACATTCAATTTACCAAAAAATAGCATTTTTATGAAAAGTTCCTTAAAGTGCTATGTTATTAATTCCCGAGAGGAAGAAAAAGATCTTAAAATGCAACATTACATTACAAAGTTTATATTTTAAAGGCACAATAAAAGAACGGAAATAAAAAAAAAATTCTTACTGAGTTAAATCACATTGCCATGCTAGTCATACTTAATGAGTTTGCTTAATTTGTAATCGGTATTAAACAGCTTCTATATTTTATCCTGGAGCTGCTTTAATTTTAAAGTAAAATAAAAGATTACAAGCTAGAGATAAAGTACAGCAATTTATCTTTAAAATATTTTAAGATAAAAAGTACTAAGGGCCTATTAGTCATAATAATGGCATGATTCCCAATTAATTGCACCCTTTGCCCATGTAAGATGCATGCCTGGATTATTACTTATTATTTATTTTCATCCATATTCTATGCCATCAGCCAACAATCACAGTATCAAGACGACAATACCACTCAAATAATCTGAACATTATATTTTGGTGCTTGTCTCCTTTTTTGTTACATTTAAATTCCGTTCATAGAATTGGAAGTTTCAAGTATGCCCAATTCTGACAGATAGCTGCTAAAAGTCAACAGAAAGAAATCCCACCTGCCTATTAAAAAAAATCCTCAGGGATAGAACTCAATAGTTACTCAGATGAGGAAAGTTATTATCTGAGAACCACAGATAAGACAGAACATGGAGAAGAACAACAGCCAAACAAAACAAGAGATTTCCCTCTTCTTGCCAGGCTCTTACAGCTATTTGTACACAACACTCATTTTCACCAACAAGAAACAGCAAGGCCAATTTTTGCAATAAAGCACCAGGTCTGATGTAGATTCCCCACTGACCAACTATCTGACTCACGCCTGGCTCACTACTTTCACCTTTTACTTTTTTTGCCTGTCTTCCTTATACTATAGTCATGTCACTATTTTTTCTCCTCTTCCCCTTTCCATTTTTAAATTTTTTAAATCAAGAAAAGTGTTTGAAAAATCTCCATAATAATGCTGCATCATGTCAACAGGACAGAAAATAGCTTACTGATAAAAACCACGTATATTCAAGGACTCATGTAAAGCTACATATTTCTGTGTACTGGGTGAAGATCAATGACATTAAAACATATACTGGGCTTAAAATGTGTGTGGGTGTGTGTATTTTTTTTGGAGATAGGGTCTCACTCTGTCACCCAGGCTGCAGTGCAGTAGCACAAACACAGCTCACTGCAGCCTCTGCCTCCTGAAGTCAAGTGATCCGCCCACCTCAGCCTCCTGAGTGGCTGGGAATACAGGTGCACACCATCATGCCTGGCTAATTTTCTAATTTCTTTGGAGAGTCAAGAGCTCGCCATGTTGCCCAGGCTGGTCTTGAACTCCTGGTCTCAGGCAGTCTTCCCACCTCAGCCTCTCAAAGTGCTAGAAGTACAGGTATGAGCCACGGTGCCCAGCCTATACTTTTACATAATTTTTAAAATCCTAAACAAAATATGTAATTGTGGAAGTACAAGTAAGAATAAAATACATTCAACCTGATAAGCAAATGTGCAAACTAAAACAAAGTTCCATTTTTCTTCCATTAAACTATCAAAAATATTTAAAAACTGAAATATACTATGGCAATGTCAGTATGACAGAACTTCCTCTCATATAAAATACAAATTGGCTCAATCATTTAAAAGAGCAATTACACAAACCATTTTTTAAGGAAGAAAATAATGTTTATAACTTTTGACCCAATAATTACCTTTCTAAAAATGTATCCTAAGAAAATAAATCACAATAGGGAAAACGTTAACCAGGCTAACAATAACTGCCTTTTCCTGAGTACACATATAGATTAAAAGCAGATTCTTTGTATCAATGCACTTAATCCTCATAACACACTTTTAGTTATTATTGTCACCATATTACAGATGAGAAAATTTCATCTCAAAGAAAATAAGTAACTT